TTCTTATTATATGGATTTATTGATACTGTATGAATTTACTATTATTAGATTATTTTGTTGCTCATATCACTGGATTGATATTGTTACTAATTTAGATACTGATACTATTTAATACTAATGATTCACTATATTGATATTAAGTATGTGATATATTGAGCACATAATATACAAGATATATTGAGCATGTGATTAAGACATTAATTTGATATTAATATATAATAACTAGATAATATGCATATTTAATTTTAACAATCTTTTTTTAATGTTTTGATTTCATACTTTATTTAATTTATGTACTGATTGATATTACGGATACGGCGATATTGCTTTATAGATATGACACTCGTACTGATTTACTATTTTATTGGCTTTTGTATCGCAATATTTTACTGTTTATAGATTCTACTACTACTTCATGTGAATTTTACTATTTCTGTACTTATTCAATGAACATATGAATGATATTGCTATGATTTGATCCCTGACATAAATGTTGCTCTTTTATCGTGTTTTGATTTCAGTTGTAGGTTTTGGTGACTTGTTAGACTTTTTAGCTCATTATATGTGATTAAATGATTTCAGATCAAGGAAGAGGACCAGGAGTATGAGCTGGGTCAGGATTTCTTGAGGTTCAAGTTCTTTTTATTTTAGCTATTCATTTCTACTCATGATAGGATATATATGTGATGATTATATATATCATGATTATTATATATATTATTTTTATGAATGAATAACGATGTGTACATTGATATTTTGAATTATAGAATATGTTTTGATGTTTATTATTAATAGATGATATTAAATAGCTCTATCTATTGTTTATTAAAAATGATTATTTCAAATTAGATTCTAAGGCATCACACTTTTTGTTGGGAATTTTCTTCAATCGATTGATGGAGCCTTGAGATAGAGTAGAGGATAAAGTAAATCATGGCTTCAATGCTCCAAGGTTGGGGCATGAATGGAGGCTAACTACGATAAGATTAATGCAAAAAAAATCAAAAGGTTAAGAACATGTAATTAGAATGATGGTTGACTGTAATCCAATCATGCATATTTATCTTTAATAAGTTCTTTGTAGTTTGAATCTACTTCCAAGTCAAATATAGTGGGTCTAAATCATTAAATCAATGGATTCAACCCCATATATTTTTTCCCAACAGTTTTCAAAATCTAAAAATTCAAACCAAATCAATTACCGTCATCAAACAACACATAAATCTTCAAATACTATGTACTAATTAAGCATCTATATAAACTTGAATCTGTAACTCCATTTTTACTCGCCAAGAAAGCAAATTTTAATTGCCATGACGGCATGACTAGTTCTTAGTGATCAATATGCAAAGGAATCTCTCTAGCCAAAGATGACGACCATAGATGAAGGAGAATCATTTGGAGTTCTGGGCTTGCCTGAGATCGATATGAAGAGAAAAGAATGGTGAGAATGGCTGAGGCGTAGAATCATTGGATGAGATGATCAGTTCGATGGCCCGTTTGGCCGATGGCGAATCATTTATTCCGATCATACTACTTCTAGAAGGACTTCTTTGAGGAATTTCTTCAACGTGACGTGCTACCATTCTATCATAAACATGACATAAAATTAACGACTTATATATTTTACCATTTCCTCTTACTTTTATAAGCTAATTATTAAAAAAGTAAAAAAAAAACAAATTATTTTTTAAGATAAAGCTTTGGGGCCCGTAAGCTGAGCTTATCAAGCTTGAATGTCGAGCTCAAATTTGAACTCGTCTAGTAAACAAGTTTAAGTTGGAGCTTGATGAGGCTCGACTCACAAACTTACGGACGAACTCTTAATAATATAGCATATAGGATATATTTCTCCAAAAAATTAGCTAAATTTTTTTTTTTTTTTTCTCTCTTGACAAAAGTTTTATAGTTACCATTTAAAAATAAAAACTGACCTATTGAAAGAAACAGATGCTTGTATTAATAAAGTTGCAACAGTTTAAAAAAAAATAAGAAAAGCTATATATAGGTTCCTAAGAAAAAAAAATCCAATTTCTTCTTTTTCTCAGGCACGCCGTACAGAATGGTACGTCTTCATCTTCTCTTGTAGCTCATTCATCTACTTCCGAAGTGAGGCCTTCTTCTCTGCTTTTGTCGAGATCTCATAAGCTACTCGCGAGCACTTTTTTATTGTTACAAGTCGAGTTCGAGCTCATAATTTGACATGCAACTTGAGCTCGAGTTAGACGTAATGGAGCTCGACTCAACTCTTTTAACCCCTAATAAAACTAATGGGTTTATTTATTAATTATTTTTATTATGAATTTATCAGAAAATACTGTATTTATCTGAAAATAATGATTTAGCCTATTTAATTTTTTTCATTTATTATTTTTCATTAGAAACTAATATCAGATGACATTTTATTGTTCTTGATGCGGACTAGAATATACGCAGCGGTAGAGTAAAAATATAACGTCTTAACAATATACGCATATCCAGCACACCAACAGATAATTAAGGAAGAGAAACACCAGAAACTTTTTTACGTGGAAAAC